AGTCTATTACTATAGAGATATTACTGTGATAGAGAAAACCTAGAAGAAAACCTAACTAAGCCCGAATGAAAAATTGGAAGAGTTAAATGCAAAAGTATATTGTTTATACCAATTCTTTACATATAGTAAATAAAATTGTCAATCCTTTATTTTTGACAATAAAAACTTCAAGGTATACAAACGATTGAGTTATTTGTTGAATTACATGTCAAGTCAACGTTTCGGGATAATTATTCCCATCTTCAAAACTTAAATCCCTTAGCGATTCATAGTAATTTATGGCTAAAAAAGAGTTAATTAAAAAAAGAATACATGTAACAATACATGTTAATGTAGTGTTGTTACATAAAATGTTATAATTACCTAATGCCTGGTGAGCTCCTTTGTCTTACTTTGCAATTTATGTATTATATAAATATACTGTCTGGAGCATCAACATTTCCTAGGACCAATAATTGGGTGTCTGCAGTGAGGGATATTATTAACCTTTGGATCTAATTATTTACTCTTTTACTATTGATGTTCAATGACTGTTTGTTACATAGCTGCAATTTACTTTTGCTATATTTTAACTTTATTTAAGATATCTGTGTGTTCCAAAATCTTTAGTGTCTGTTTTCTAATTTCCTGTTTTTTATCGATCAAATATCTTACGATCCATGTGGAAAGCAAATGAGTATTTACAAATTGTTATAACCTAATTAAATAGAAAAAGTTTGCCGACTTCCAGATTGAAAACTCCCCAATTTCGATAAGTTTGGTAAATAAGATTTGTTGGTTACAATGAGATGAAGCTATTTACGAACTTTCAGGTGGATGTTAATAATTTGATAAAAAGAGGTCTGTACCACGGACTATAAAGATTACTTGACTAAAAAGGATAATTATTTCTGGAATCTAACCTACGAATGGCTTACAGCAGTGGAATCCTCTCACAGACAGTGATAACATAAACACTACTAATATACTCGCTTTGAAGAGCTTAGCCGCGATGATGTAGAAGATCCGAACCGTCCTACAACAGCTCTGACAATGGAGCGACGCCCCGCAGCGAAGGCATATGCTGCCTGTTGCAGTGCATATGTTCTGCCACGTGGCAGGTCAACGCGTTGCTACAGATAGGTCGCTACACATTGCTCCTGTGTTATGTCATGCCTTCCACTTCACCACCCCGATCTGTAGAGTACGGGGGAAGATCGCTGATATCTGGGCAATGATAGGCCTTTATTAGTTCTTGTTTTGGTGTCAGAATGAATGTTGAATTAAAACATCTGAGTATTTTCATGAATTTTTAATTTTTATTCGTCTATGAAGATTATCTTCATTTATTATTATTTTTTTTTTACACGAACCGGCCAGCAAAGATAACGCGAATATCATTTCTGTTTCCTCTTCACACCCTCAGCCTTCCTCTTACTCCAATACTCCTCATCTCTGGACTGTTCCTCTCCTCTTCCTCTCTCCCACCTACAAGAACGCCAACCCCTTTTCTGTTTTTTTCCTAAAAAGCTCTCTATCCAAGCAATCTTTATCCGTGATTTTTAGCCTGTCTAGTTCCTCTTTTATTTGTTTTACATATCCCCCATACTTTTATAGCTGCAAACTGTGTCAAAAAATGTCTTGTTCAGTCTTTCACTATTCATCCTGACCATGTGCCTGTAGAACCTCATTCTTCTGGTCCTGACGACTGTTTCCAAATCTTCCAAATTTCTGTACATTTCTTTATTGTATTTTAATCTGTATCCCTCTTGCGTTACCTTGGGTCCGTGAATCCTCCTCAGAATCTTCCTCTCAATCTTCAGGATTTTCTCTAGGCTCGGAAGGCGGACTGTTTCCATACCATATAATATTACAGGTCTTGCTACTGTACAGCATTTGAGGACAAATTTTTCTTGTTGTAAACAATCCTGGTGTCTTTCCAGTTTGGTTATTTTTCATTCGATTGATGCCTTATCCGTTCCGTTACTACTTTTTATCCCCTAGGTATTTAAACTTTGTGGTCACTTATATTTTCCCATATATTGTGTCTAATATTTTCTTGGTGAAGTTGTTATCTGTTGTCATAATTTCTGTTTTTTCATAAGAGATATGTAGTCCCGTTTTCTCGGATATTTCTTTCAGGGTGTTTACCTGTTTTATGGCTTCCTCTTCTGTCTCTGCTAGTAGGGGCTAGTAGATCACCTGCAAAGTCCTGGCACTTTACTTTCACATTGCCTTCTTCTTTCCTATTACCGCAATTGCCTCGTCCTTTAATCAGAATATTGTCATAATTTTGTCCAACACTACATTAAAAAGTATTGGTGACAGGACGTCGCCTTGCCTAAGCCCCGAGTTTTATATGTTTCATTTACTATATTATATGTTATTCTATTATATATTATATAATATATACATACGCGAACGCGAACAAACCACGAGCTGCAGGAACTGTATCCAGATACCTATGTTAGGAGAATAATAAGGGTTGTCAGAGATGGACTGGTCACCTTCGCCGGATGCCTGCTGATGATATATTGAGAAAATTATCACAGGAGTGAATTTTTACAAGGAAGACCGAAACTTAGAAGAGCTGATGGACTGGAAGCAGATTCCCGAGCTATTCTTGTAGTCCACGATCGGAAGACGGTTGCACTTCTCAGAGGTAACAGGCGACTGAAGATTCAGGAAACTCGAAGGTGTAGCACCACGGAATGTTTCTTATTTATATGTACGCCCTTTAATGGCTCTCATGAGCGATGAATTTTGATCAGCGAAAGGGAATTTGATATGAAACAAGATTTAATTTTGCAGAGAAGTGACAAATACCAATTTCGAAAATTAAAACCTTACCAGGACTAGAAATACATAGCAAAATTTGGTGCGTTTGAAAACTCAGATGTCAGAGTTTATATATGGAGAGGAGATAAATTGTTCTTTTCTTCTTTTTTTGTTGGGAAGCTATTTAATTTTATGTTTTGGGGAATAAAAGCTTTCAAGTATAATTTTTTTCTTAGCGGCTTGAACTACTAGGGTCATTGTCGCCTTATTTTCATTGAGAATTAAATTATATTTTCAAGTTTTGAACATTTCCATGTTCCGTTTGAACATAGATTATTAAATTTTCTACAAAACAAAAAAACAATAGGACAATTATTAACAAAGATGTAGTCCATTAGTTTTGGTATACTTAATAATGTTTTCTTTTTTAGAGATATTGCATTTACTATTCTACTACATTTTTTTCCTGGCTGATGTATTAAATTTATTATTTCTTAAAGGCATTTGTTTGTTCTTACATTTTATTTTTGTTAATAATTTAGAAAATCTCATCTCTCATTATTTTGCCTTTATTACTTTTATTATCTTTCCAGTCAGCGTTTTAAAAATAGGTCCTAGCAAGGCAATTTGTACAAATATTTTTGTCTATTATGTTTAATGGAATATTGTAATCGACCAAGGAAAAAATATTAATTCCTTCCTCACATAATACATAGGAACTACTTATTTCCATATTGTTTTTCTATGACTTCACTAAACAAAATTTTCTGCGAATTATTAGCACGTGCCAACTAGTTTGTTAATTTTGTGAACACACTTTGTAATATAGTCTCGTTAAAGAAAAATGTAGTTATGAAATCATAATAATGCTTAATTTATACTGTGGTTTGAGTTTAATTTGATTTAAAATTTTTTTTAAATAATTATTTTCTGTTTTTTTCTGTAAACCTGATAAATTATTATTTTTTACTATATGGCACGGATAAGAGATAAATACATCTGGAAACATCACTGAAATATAGAAAATATGTTATTTACTTATATATTTTATATATAATACACTTATATATATATATATATATATATATATACAACTATATATATATTAATATAATAGTACAAAATGTGTTATATTTTTATTGTGTATAATTTTAATCGATTCAAGCTCTATAAATGTATTAAACTAATATTTATTCAGTTCTGAAACTATTCTCGTCTGAGTGAATATTGATCGGACAGTTCAAGGGGAATGATGTCACCATAAAATGTTTGTTTTATTAACTTTGTTAAATTTTTACTATCTGCATTTCTAGTTCTGCCATAAATACTGTTAAAAAAGTTGAACTTTGTTTACATCCTTGGTTATCATTTAGATAATCTTTACCTCTGTCAGGTTTTTTTCTTTACATGTCGGAATAAAAATTCCAATTAGTTTGTATTTTTCTTTCGCTCAGTTAACATGGAGTGGGGTGATAAGGAAACCGAATAGTTGTGATTGCCTTACACAAAGTTGGAAAATGTAGGTCAGAGATTTTCAACACTGAAATTTTTGGGTATCAGCCGTATGTTCGTGTACCGCACTATAAATAGATATAATGTCACCCTGTATGTGACAGACCTCAACCGGGTCGTCCCCGCACTGTGAGAACGGCAAATGCAGTGAGAGCAGTGGCAGCACGAATCAGAAGAAATCCCATTCGAAAACATCAAAATCGTATCTTGGGAAATGGGAATCTCTGTCAGATCAATGTCTCGCATAATAGAAAGTGACCTTAGGATGGCTGCATTTCGAAGAATGACAGGATAGATGCAAAGTGCTCCTTGTCCGTAAAAAGTTGCCCGTTGGTTGCTTGAGTTAGAAATTTTGGATTTTACATGTTTAAATCCATATACACAAGTTAAAAAAAATAAAATTTTTCCCACAGTTTTCAGATTATATTGTCTGTTTCGATCCTCAAGTCAGTGGTCTAATATTCTTTAAATCAGCTGCCATTTTTGAAAGCAGTGGCTCTGGAATGGCAGACAAGGTTCACTTTATTTAGATTATTATTATAACACGCACTTTCGTAATTTACATTGAAACCTTCGCCTGCGATCAGGTCGAGGGCTATTAGTAAAGACAGCTTGTACTTTGTTTATCTGATGATAATACATTCAATTCATGAGAACTTCAATTAATCTTGCGTCTTAAATCTAAACAAAAATATTATATTATTTAAATCAGGACAAATAAAAAAACAAATTTCAACTAAATAATTTATTAATATGATATTATAAATAGATGTGCTAATTTTAAATCAGTGGATAAACAACATTATATCCTCTATACAGGTTAACATTTTCTATCCTAGAGAGACTGGAGGAAATAGAAGATAATCACCTAAATTTTGATTTTTTCTTAAGCAGAAAAAAAATATATGTATGTATATATTGTTATCATCCATTTCATTTAAATATACAGGCAGGCACCATCAAAATGGACGGAAATTAAAATCTTGCAGTTTTCTTATGTCGACTCAAGCGTCTTAAGTCATATTAGGTTCCTGAAACAGAATACCAAACAAATATTAATATGTGAAAAAATAAGTGAAATTCAAACAATTAGGTAGCATTATTCAGATCACAAAATAATATAACAAACCGTACTCTTATTTTGGCTTATTATAAATTTACAATAATGTTAATTTAAATAAATATTACATCTAAAATGTCTGCAAGGTTAATTCAGATTAAAATTAAGAAGATAAAAAAAACTTTTATATTGAAACATTTCTCAATTTTATAAAAAAATTGGTTTGTTCGAAGACTCTTTCACACCAACGTATGTAAATACAAATTTGTTTCAAAAATGCATACAAAAAGGCCAAGATAAAATTAAGAATAAGTATTTATTCATCGTGTACAGTGAGAAATATGATGGTTCGATAATAAAATGTACAACCTGACATAGATCATGAATATCAAGTGTATCAATATATATATATATATATATTACTATATTTATATATATATTATTTTATATATATATAATATTAAAACATTTGTTGATAAAACTGCTTTAACTTAGAGAGTAATTGCGCTTTTAATACTGACCAGTAGTTTTAGAAAATTTCAGTAACGTAGTTGATAATTGTATTATAATAAAAGTATTAGAATTATGGATCTCTCTACCAGGTTATTAAAAAAAAGTCAACGTACTCATTTTGCCACAATTTTTTTTTTTTTTTCCTTTACCGCTACAATCCATGAAGGATCTTGGATACAGTACTATTTAGGTAAAGCACTGTTTCTTGGTCTACGGTTGTGCAAGGAGGTGATTTGACCGAGATCAAGCTAAATCGCTCGGTTTTTTCCCTTAATCGATTATTTTAATTAAGGGTACCCACACTTTATAGAGGCTGCGTGTGCCCCAGGAGGGTCTACCTAGCCGGGGTCGCCCAACGGTCTATGAAACAGAATAAATCATTTTTCTGCTATGAATCAGGATTCGAACCTTGGGCCTTTAGCATTGAGAGCTCAGTAACCTACCACTGAGCTACCCTGCTGCCCTACAAAAAACTATTGGATACCTTAATAATATAGTATATCCCCTTATTATTATTATTTTTTTAAATTATTTATTTTACATTGCTCTATTATATAAAACAGTTTTCAGTGACTTTCATATTTTATTTTATTTTAGTATTAGGAAAGTAGGAGATTACAGGAGCTCTTCTATTAGGTCTACAATTAGCACTAATTAATTTTAATTATACAAAATAGAGAATTGCACCATGTTGTCTTCGTTACAGTGTTGAGTTCCTGTAACCTCCTACTTTTATTAGGATACAAAATAAAGATCATAGATCAAACATTTGTACGGAAAATGGAATTAATCTGGAGGTCTTAGTTTGATTTTGCCATGATGGCAGCAGTTATTTCTAGATTTTTTTTTAATACAATATATTCATTATTATATTATAAATAATAAATAGTTGTATAATTTGTAAAAAGGGGGTTGGTCCGCAGTTAGACGGACAGGATGTACTCGAATAGTGATACAAATTCAAATTAAGAGTTCTACTTCTCCTAAAATAAAATATCTGATGATCTCCTCTGAATGAATGTTTGTAAATATTTTATGTAAGGATGTCTGTATTTGTTAATGATTAGTTTACTTTTTCTTTATATATTAATTTCTAGTTTTGATATTATTTTGATGTTATTTAATTTAAGTAATTTATATTATTAATGAAGCAAATTTCATATTACATATAAAAAAAAAAAAAATCAATTTCCTTTATTGAGAAATATTAGATTATGACCTAATTTAGGACAATGTTAACAGAGATCAGAATAGTATAAATAAACATAATTTAATAGATTGAAATAAGAATAAAATAACATATAGCATAAAGAAAAAAAAAATTAAACTTCTAAAAGTAAAATAAATACCTTAAACACAGGTTTACTTGTTCATTATTAAATAAGTTTAAATTACATTAAACCTAAGGAAACTAAATAATTTATTTCTAATGAGTTATTTTATATACCATTTAATATCTTAAAGTATACAATAAATAAAATCCATATTATTAAGCGAAATCTTAAGTTAACATCTTTGAGAAAGATTACTAAACAATCCATATTAATATTCTCAGATAAAGAAAAGGTGGTATTTTACAAGTGCTAGAAATCTGAATTGGTTTGTTATATTTTTGAAGATAAATTATAAGCCCGGATAGCTCAGTCGGTAGAGAATCAGACTTTTAATCTGAGGGTCCAGGGTTCGAGTCCCTGTTTGGGCGATAAATTTTTTTTTTAACTTTCTAATTTAATCTAGATTCAATAATAAATTATTGTTGGGACTAATAGAAGCAACTGAGCTAAAAAAAAATAAATAAATAAACAAACCCGCATACTTTTATAAATCTATTTTACAACTCAATACTCAAGTTCGCTTACCGAATTACTAGAAAACAAATTAGAGTGATATAAAATCTAAAGCCTTTCTACGGAATCTAGTATTATTTTTTTTCAATCTTAACTGTAAAATCTGTGTATGTACAACCTAGGGTTACGTACATAATCATTTATAATAACGGGAAATATAAAAAGTCAAAATTCATATGAATAAAATAAAATATATAAAAAGAATCCATAAAAAACGTAATGATTCGACTAAAAACCTAAGTTGTGAATCTATCTATATTCAACTAGAATCCAATCCCGTCAATCACAAAATTGACTAACAGAACTAATAATTTAATTATTGTATGGTCTGGTCAGGTCTGTCCTCACCTATGAATCGAAATTTTAGATAATTAATTGATGAGAAAACTATGTTAGAAGGAAAAAAATTTAAGAAAATTTATGGACCAATATTTATTTTTGGAGGAGGGAAAGGAGGAAGTGTGAAGTTTTCGGGCTGAAGCCTCCCCAAAATAGGAAAATATTAATTTTTAATTATTTAATTATTTATATTTAATCTAAGCTAAATATTTAAATAATCACAATATGTTTTCTGTTATATTTAATCATAATGTATATACAGCTACTAAATATAAGCACCTTTCAATTCTAAAGTCATTATTCCTCCTGTAATCACCGAAATTGTTTTTAAAAGTTTTTCAAGGACCACTTAAACATTATTTCATATAGGTGTTTTGTTTTCTTCCAGAGTATTTAATTAAACAAAAAAAACACCAAAACTAAATCATGGCTACTGTGCCCTGGTGCTGATCAGAAACGTAAGGGATGAATTTCTATGGAGAGATCAAAGTCTTACAAGATTGTAGCACAAATAATATATATCCAACACACCAAAAATATATAATGTATCTAATTGACGCTCTCGAACTATGTAAAAACTATTTTATCGTATTTCTGCGAGAGAAGACGTAAATGTATGAAAATGTTTCAATCAGTATTTACGGATTGAAAACTAATAAAATATAGCTACAACCATTAATAACTCTACTTTAGTTGAATAACTTAGGGCTTACAATATATATATGCATATTGATTAGTCTTCCTCGCGCGGGCTCATTACCGCGTATGGGGAGCGTCCCACGGGTGGCGGATGTGGGGATGGTCGGTGGAAATTCCTTGGAAGTTCCTCCCGGCTAAGTCCGATGGACTCGCTGACCAACAATGAGAGGGGCCCTCCAGACTTGCTGGAGGGAGGGGACCTCCAGACTTGCTGGAGGTAGGGGCCCACCAGACTTGCTGGAGGGTGTGACGTAGGATTGAACGCCCTACTCACATATCTTTAGTTCACCAAACACCACATGGTGATGTCGGCATCGAACCTTCGGGTTCGTTAAGTCTTATTATTATTATATTGATTAGTCTTATTTGATCAGAAATTAATAAAAATAGCATGGAAAGCGAAAGTTGTGTAATTCCAGCACAATATATTTGTATATTTATTCTCAACCTGTTCTCCATTTATGATTTTTTTGTTTCTATATTACGAAATAATTCTACTATTAATAGACAATTTTACTTATTGTTTTGTTTTAAGTAAATATAGATTCGCATATGATCATATGATCATATGGTCGCTAAGGTTAAATTTTTCTCAACCATTCTTTACGTTTTTAAGAATTGCATTGGAGCTGAATTTCACATTGATGCGGTATTTTAGTGCATGAAGTCTCTTTTAAAAATATTGCAGTCAGGTAAGCATAAAAATGTTTCATTGTTTAGTTTTTTGTTTTCTTATCAAAATTTTAACAAATACCGTTATAATGAAAGTATTTTAAAAACATAGTCACTATAGTCCGACTGCCCGATGACGAACTCACATGATATTACTAATTTTTTTTTTTTAATAACACTTCTGATTTACTACTATCTATATAAATAAGATAAAGATTTCGTCTGTACATTGAATAGAATCAACCCGTTATGTGATATTTCCGTTTCACCACATCCACTTTTAAAAAAGTTGTTGTCTGTATGTCTGGATTGAAACGAAATTTTGTCAGGGGTAAGCTCAGCAATGCCTTTTGAAAATTTGGCATTATATTAAGTTTTGCTTGACTCAAAACATAGGCTTTAAATGAAAACAAAATATTGAGTAGAACGGAAGTTATGAATTATTGAATAATTTGTCTAAAGATCTCGGTTAATGTTGATAATAAATGTTAATAATAAACATATGTTTATAGGTTAAAGAACATCTATATGAATAAAATAGAATCAACGCGGTTCTTGATATCTTTTCGTTTTATACATAATACAGACATCAAATCCACTTTTCAAAAATTTTTTGTCTGTCTGGATGTTAGCATTATCCAACGAAATTTTGTCAAGTGTAAGCTCGACAATGGCTAAAAATCTGGAATACCGAACATCTGTAACGCATTGTCGCATAAAACGGGTAAAACGCATTCATTTTTCAACTCTGTCCGATCTTCCCGTTCAAGATGTCATTCGATTCAAATTCCCGAGCCTCACAAATGCTGTCATATACATTTAGCCGAAAACTCACCCCGCCCGCCACAATATTCAGCTTCATTTCTAATTTTACACGGGTGTAGGTGACTCAATGTCCAAT